CTCTCACTCTCTCTCTCCTTCCCTTCCTTTCTTTGTTTCCTTAAGATTCATTTTATTTGAAAGGCAGATGCACAGATAGAAGAAGAAACAGAGAAAGATCCTCTATCCACTGGTTCACACCCCAAGTGGCTACAAAAGCCAGAACTGAGCCCATTTGGAGTCAGAAGCCAGGAGCATCTTCCGGGTCTCCCACCAGCGTGTAGGGATGCAAAGATTTGGGCTATCCTCTGCTGCTTTCCCAGACCATAAGCAAGGAGCTGCATGGAAAGTGGAGCAGCTGGGACATAAATTAGAGCCCATAGGGGATGCTAGTGCTGCAGGCAGATGATTAGCCTATTGAACCACCTCATCAGCCCTCAGAATTTCTTACATGCCTAATCTTGAAAGTTCCTAGGATTTTGCGACAACAGTGAAGAAAAGGTCCCTTAATAAGCCAGAAAAAGGCACATCTGAAGCTGCTGAGGAAAGGGCCAGGAGGAAATGACTGGGCATGTGTGGCCCCCTGAAGATAAAATGGGTGTCCTGGATGGTAAAGATTCTGTCAAAGAGTTTGAGCCTTTTTAAGAAAATGAAAACATCTCTGCAAGTGTCTAGTGATTTTAACTGACTTTGGAGGCATACATTCATTCACATACATGAATTCATTTGAGATTGCAAAATACCTTTAAGTCATTGAGTAATGGTTTTCACTGCAAATACTTTCAGTGGTTTGTAATATCTTCCACTCTGTCAGGAGTTTCACTAAGAGCTCACCTGCAAGTAGGAGCAAGTTATGAAGAGGGCCACACCTGCTTAGAAGAGAGGCAGCTCCTGCAGCCAGCAACAACGTGAGCTTATCATAACAGACAATACCTGAAAGGCTCGTGGAGTTGACTGTGATGCATTGTTCATACACACCAGCTCTCTACTCCTTGTACCAACAGAACAGAACCTTTCAAAGTGACTTCTTTAAAAAGAAGTGCTAACATTTCTGAGTCATCAGAGAAGACAGAGTATTGTAGTACACAGAGTATTATTAACAACAAAGAGGAAGATCTTTGAGGATTTATGATAGAAAGAAAATATTTTTCTCCTGCTCTCAGTGAAAGCCTACAACTTCTTCCTCAACAATTCTGAGAGGCTGTAAAATATGATCTAGTTTTGAGTGTGAGAAATAGAGCATGACATGCTCAAAGTCAGTTAAAATCACTCTTCTGGAAGAGGGAAACATAAAAACCAAGCATCCAAGATGATTAGGAATTTCTAGTTTAAAGATTTGAGACACACCCAATACACTTCCATGCAATTCTATGTGAGGAGGCATCACTTGACCTACTTCCATTCATTCACGTTGACAATCATTTCTTGGGCGCCTACCACTGTTGTAAGTACTGAGGGTATAACAGTGAAGGCTGTTTTCACATAATTCACAATAAATTGGGGAGAGACAGGAAATAAAGAAATGCATGTCTGCAAGAAAGACAACAGGCTATGAGATGGGCAAGGACAGAAGCGTGACTTGAGGGGGGTAGTAATTATGAGGACAGTGAACCCAGCTGATTTTTGCCGGGGGACCTGAGTGAGGTGAGGGAGTCGTCAGTGATGCTACAGACAGGGGAGAAGAGCTCCCAGTGGCAGGAAGAGAGAGGGCAAAGCTCTTAATGGGGAAACAAAATGGCTTGTTTGGGAAAACATCAAGCAGGCCAGCATGGGGTGGGAAGAACTGTAGCCAGGTAGTGACAGTCACCAGGGTACTTGAAGAAGTACCAAAGTATCCAGAGCCTTATTTGCCAGGGAAAGGTCTTTACAGCTGAAGCAGCTGGGAAGCAACTAGAGGTTTTTAAGGAGAGAAGTAATTTAGAATACATGTTACACAAAGGGTCCCCTGGTCATGGCTGCTGACACAACAGACTATGAAAAGCCAAGCAAAACAGTGCACTAAGGGCACTGCAGTAATCCAGACAAGACTTGGCACCTTGAACTAGAGTTATAGCAGTGGAAGTGATGGTAAGTATTCAGACATCATTGCAAATGTAGAACCAGCGTTAGGGATCAATTTGGTTTATGAACGGAAGGGAGGAGTAGCAAGTGTCCCAACATCTTTGGCCAGAGTTTAGGGATTTAAGGGTGTGTGTGTGTGTGTGTGTGTGTGTGTGTGTGTGTATGAGAGATTAAGAGACGACAAATTAAAAGTCAAGAATCATGTTGATAGTACAGCTAGAATTTACTGTACTATGGTTCTCAATTTACTGTTCCACATTAAAACAAACCCTCCATTAGTGCTATTCATAATAGTGTTTGAACTATTCTTTTAAGGAAGGTATTTGAAGGGCTCGCTTTAGAAGAACTGCCAAGTGGCAGTCTATTTCATCACCATTAAATGCAATTCAGAACTGCTATCTGTGAGTGTGAGGTCGTCAAAAATTTTAATCCTGTGGTGACAAGTTCAGATGTGTCAGAAGCAACAGTGGTATTTAGATGAGCATTATGCAGATAATACACATTATTTCAAATTCATATGTTTAGTAAATTCTTTGACTAAGTCTGCATAGTTAGGATAGTAATCTACTTGAAGTGTACAGACAGAAATGAAAAAGACTGCCTTTCCCTGGCTTCTCTGCCCACATTCCATTACTGTTAGGCCTCACCTCTCCTGGAACTCTTGGGAAGTATGTACATTAGAAATACAAAGCATGTTAGCATTAACAGCTTTACTGTCCCACCCAAGCAGTGAACAGAGGGTGAGGAATACAGGCATGCAGGGGCCATGCTCAGGGGCTACCTGTCCTCGGAGTCTGTCTGCAGGAAGTCAGAGAGCAAGCAAGTGCTGGGGAAGGCGAGAGCGGGAGTGCCAGAGTGAAGGAAGCATGTCACTCGTACCAGCTGAGCAGAGGGACTAGGGTTACAAAACAGACAACATACAGTGGGTCATTCTTGTAGAGAATGCCAATCTATTCAAAGTCAACCCACATCTTTTATAGTCTGCTTGGCTCCTCCCAGGATTTTCCCAATGCTCAAGCAACACCTAAGCTCCCCTTGAGGGACAAGCAGGGAAGAGGGAACTTGCAGTCAAGTCAGGGGCTAAATGTATCAGGCCAAGATTGCCCATCCTGTTACACCTTGAGAAACAAGCTAAGCTGTGGAGTTAACCCTACACTCTAAGACAGTGGGCCTCTCCCTATCAGGGGCCTTAATGGGGGCTTGTGTGGTGAGTGTTTACACAACAATGTGATACCGTGCCCTCTCAGGTTCCAGGTGATGATAGGTGAGTGTCACAGGTAGGCAGAGGGAACACCTATGTGGTACGGGTGTGGCTTCCAAGTTTGTGACCCTGAACCAGCTGCCTATCCCACAACACAACTGCTGATCAAGTGCCAAATCCAACAGAATAGTTAGATGTTAGTGGAGCTGCTGGGAAGAGATATGTGTCTCTGACAGATGATGACGAATTTCAAGAGGACAAAAGAGGGACTGTTGCAGAGGCACGGTGGGCTAATCTTCTGCTGGTAGCACTAGCTTCCCATATGGATGCAGGTTCTAACACCGGTTGCTCCACTTCTCATCCAGCTTCCTGCTTGTGGCCTGGGAAGCACTGGAGGATGGCCCCAAGCCTTGGGCTCCTGTACCACATGGGTGATCTAGAAGAAGCTCTTGGCTCTCAGCTTTCAACTGGTCCAACTCTGGCCACTGCAGCCATTTTGAGGAGTGAACAAGTAGATGGAAGATCTCTCTTTTTGTAATTCTTCTTTCTTTTTAAAGAGTTACTTTTTTTTTCCTATTGGAAAGTCAGACTTACAGAGAGAAACATCTATCCGATTCACTCTCCAGGTGCCCACAACATCTGGAGCTGCGCCAGTAGAAAGCCGGAAGCCAGAAGCTTCTTCCGGGTCTCCCATGTGAATGCAGAGTCCCAAGGCTTTGGGCCATCCTCTACTGCTTTCCCAGGCCACAAGCAGGGAGCTGGAAGGGAAGTGGAGCAGCCAGGACACGAACCAGCACCCACATGGGATCCCGGAGCATGCAAAGTGAGAACTTTAACCACTATGCTACTGCACTGAACCCTCTATAACTTTCAAAGGAATGAATGAATGAATAAATACATAAACCCTAAAAAAAAAAAAGAAAACAAACGAGATTTGTCAGGTAGGAAATTCTAGGCAAAGAAAATGTGTGGCAAAAATGCTACAGGGTAGGATTCAGTCCACACCCAGAGATGGCAGGGCTGGATCCTTGATTGCTAAGGGTGGAGGAGGCAATTAAAGGGAAACTGCAGAGGCAAGCCAGGGAGTTGACTGACACTGGAAGGGCAACAGGCCTGATTGGTTTTATTGTGTGTCAAGTGATACACAATCAGGTGCCACTGAAGGCAGAGTTTTGTATCCATACATCTCTCAGCATTCTTCAGAGTCTTCAAATGTTTCTGAAGTATTTTCAGAGGCATCTCTTAAAAGTTGAGACGGATAGGGCAAATGTTTTCCCCAGACTGCGCATCAATTAACCCAGAGGGCAGGGAGAGGTGAGGTTTTCTAGCCTGTGGTTACCTGTGGTTCCAGGGTGCTGCGCACTTTAAGCCAGGAAAACTGTGTTTAACCGGTGAGATAATTCCTTGAAAAAGAGTTTAGTACGGCGTTTGGTCTGCAGTAAGCACTTAACAAATGACAGTTTATGACTTTTCCCTGAGACCCCTGGCAACCTGTTAGGATTGAGGGTTTTCAGGAGGAGGAAGGGCCACAGGCTGTTTCTGACGCTGCTGCCAGTCCCACAATCTGTCTCAGGCAGGCGATGACTACATATTTCCTGAACCAACAGATGAAGAATCCCTGTCTCCGGCCCACGCATGGACTTGTCCCTCGTGGGTCAGGAAAGGCCCGCCAGTTCCAAGTGCGGTGCTTGGGAGCGGAAGGCACACTTCGCGCCCCTCAGGCCGGTCGCACAGTACGTCTCGCCCGCCGCCAGCCTCACCTCCCACCCGTGGCCACCGCCACTCCCCGGGCTAGCCCGGCCGCGCCCCTCCCTCGCAGCGGCCGCGTCCCGCCCCTTCCGGCGGAGGCCCCGCCCCGCCGCGAGCCGGGCGCCCGGTGCTCTCAGAGGCCGGCGGCAGCCTCCCCCACCGCCCGACGCTCTGAGGTCACCGACTGGGCCGGAGTGCGGGGGGCGGAGGGACGGAGGGAAGATGGCGGCAGAGGCCGGATATTGGCGCCGCCTCCCCCACTCCTGGAGCCGGCGCAGATGAGGCGGCTCGGCTGGGGCCAGCGGTGCTTGGGAACCCGAGCTGGGGAGACCCTGGCGGTGGAGCCTGGGCCTGCTCTATGCCGGCGCCTCGGCTAGAGTGAGCGACGGCGGCAGCGGCGCCTCTTTTCGTCGGGCTCCTTCCCTGTGGCTGTGAGGCCGAGCGAGCGGCCGGGCGGCGGAGGCGACGGGGCAGGGATGGAGGACGTTAACTCCAACGTGAACGCGGACCAGGAGGTGCGGAAGCTGCAGGAGCTGGTGAAGAAGCTGGAGAAGCAGAACGAACAGCTGAGGAGCCGCTCGGGGGCCGTGCAGGGCGCAGGCCCTCTCGGGCCCGGCAGCCCGATCCGGGCGGGCGCGTCCACTCCCTCCTCGGGCGCGGCGTCCCCTCGGGGCTTCCCCCTGGGCCTGGGCGCCAAGTCGGCCGGAGGGGCCGGCTCGGGCCCGAGGCGGACGAGCGGCGAGGAGCTGCGAGACGCCGGCTCGCTGCTGGCGGCGGGCGAGGGCGGCTTGCTGGACGAGGTGGAGCCGCTGCGGCCCGAGGAGCTGGAGCGCCTGTCAGGCTGGGAGGAGGAGGAGGAGAGCTGGTGAGCGCGGGGCGCCCGGGCTGGGCGGGGACGGGCCGGGGGCGGAGGTGCGCGTCCCGAGGGTCCCGGTGGGAGGACGTGTGGCATTGTGTTGGCGCCGGGTGGGAGGTGGTGAGGGGAGAACTCGTGGTTTCCTTGCTTTTGGCTGCGGGAAGGTCAGCTGGAGTTGGGGCGTGCGCAGGGAGAGGGGAGCGTGGCTGCTTTTTGCGGGTTTGTTGGACCCTCTGGGTGCTGGACGAGGTGGGGCTCTGTGGGGTCGGCATAGCTCGGGTAGTGCTGGCTGGTCGCCGTGGGAGGAGGAGTCGGAGAGAGGGGGAACTGCTTTGTAGGAAAGAGACCTTGCTTTTGGGCAGTGATAACCTAGGCTTTCGGAGGGTGACCTGGGCATTTTGGATGTCGAGAAGGGGTCCGCCGGTGGAGGCGTCCTCGGGCGCCCGGGGACTGCCAGTGTTGCCTGCGTGTGTGCTGCGGGCAGGGTCTGGGAGCTGTGTGTATGGGGGATGCGGCTCTGGCGGGGCTGGGGACCCGCTGCTGGGTAGGAGGGTGAAGGTGGCTTTGTGTGGAGAGGGCAGAGGATGGGGCTGCTTTGTGTCGAGAGCGAAGCAGGAGCCCTGGCTCGCTCTCTCATTTTTAAACAAGCATTGACTCTGGCATTTTTCGAAGCTGTGGAGTGACAACCGATTCTTCTTGCATTTCTCTGCCATCCTGGGGGCAGAGCAGAAGAGTCCTGGGTTACTGTCTAAAAGTGTCAGTCACGTCGTCGGGAGCCACCTGATGAAATTGTGACCCACACTTTTACGTTCATCAATGAGAAAAACACGAAGTTTCTCTCTCATTTTACTGTTACCGAATAAAGATGTCAGTGGGAAGTTCTTTCTCTTATTTCATCCTCTTTAAAGTTTTAACTTTTAGCTAAAATGTCTCCATTCTGTGAAATTGACACTTCTGACTTAGATGAGAGCCTCCCTGGAGCCCTGGAAGGGGTGGGGCTGGTTGGCAGGGTACTGAGATAGTTAAAGAGTTTTGCCTGGATTCAGCCCCTGACTTTGTCACTTACCAGCTGCTGCATGACCTTGGACGGGTTCTTCTGAGGTTCATTTTTCTTCCCCTACTTGCTACTTGAGGGAAAAGATAATAGTTCTTACCTCTTTAGAGTTGGGAAGGTGAAGCGGGATAGTATGTGTGTGCTTTGAGTACCCTGGGCCAGGCGTTTAAGAGACACCAATGTTAGTTATTATTTTTAAGCCTGGTTATTTAAATAAATATTTAGTTAGCTCTTGTATGATGTCACAGGAGAGTCTGCAAATTCTTGAGTGTTGATCTCTGCACCGGTCAGGGTTTTGTGGAAAGCCAAGTGTAACTAACACACATGAGCTACCGTGTCTACCCTGACTTAGAACAACAGAAGCACTGATCGTGCTCAAACTGGGAAGAAAACACTAGCACGCAGTAGTTGGGGCAAAAGTTTGAGTGGGTAGCTTTGGGGTGGAGTTGGGGAAGGAGCAGAAAGGACGTTTTGTGCTCTGGCAGAGTTGCTCTGCAAAGAGTTGCTCATAAGTCCTAGCAAGGAAGTTTTAAATGATAAGAGGTCCTCTTGAATATAATCATTTTAAATCTCCTTTTCACTGCATGGTTCCTAATATATTAGAACTGACCATGGTAGTCACAGTTTTTGTGTAAGTGTAAAATCATATCCTCTCTAAGGAATGCCAAGCAGGTATGTGCTTTAAAGGAACCCCGAGTCATCTCAGTGATGCTGATAGCAAAGCTCGTAATAGTGAGACTTTGCTGCACTCATCAACATGGACTCCACTTGGAGAAGTCTATTACTGCTTTAGTTTCTGAGCAAGTTTAGTTTCTGAAGCAAGCCTGATATACTGTGGCAGAATTTTCTTTTGACCAGATTCCTGCTTACTAATGTGTTCTTGGCTCCATGTCTTAACATAAATATTGTAGAAATCATAGTTTTTCCGTGAAAAGATTTATATAAATTGCAAGTTTGATGAATCATTTAAAATATGTTGGGTATATATTTGATGGGTAAGTTGAAAGGTGTAGCTGTCAGTGGCAAACAGATTCATAGTCTTAGGAGTTGTTTCTTTTGTAGCAAGCCAAAAACAAGCCCCCCAAAACACCTATCTTGTGTAATTTCTGTCTAGTTGATCTTTTTTGTGTGGAAGACATGTTTTTCCCCAGGTGTTTACACCACGAAATGCTAGTTTTGAAGGTGTCAGTAGTTTTGAAGATGTTCTGGGGTTACATAAATAAATGAAAAATCGGGTTCAGCACAAATTAGTTTAAAAAATTTTTGTGAAATGCAAATGTATACTGAATAGAATGACTCTGGCGTATGGATTGCTAACTGGACTTAGTCGATCTTTTTTTTTTTAGTGGGGCACTTTTTTTTCTAAATAATCTTATATAGTTGATTAAGGTGCAAAGGATCAAGGGCTACAGGAAAGTGGGAAGACCATTTTTTCCACACTAATATCATCATTCACCCCCCCCCCCCAATCTGGGGTCAGAGAAGAAGCAGGGAGAAGCCCCACCCAGCCTCCTACCCAACTTAGTTGATCTTTTTAAGTGTTCATCTCTGAGCATGAGTCAGTTACAGTTTTGTTGCAAGCCAAGTTGAAGGCATGTAAGCTAGGATGTGTACTCTGACTTGCCAGAGGAGTGGTGGAAGAACAATCCTGAGAAACTAGTGTTTGATAGACATGCTTGGAAGAAATGATGGTCTGCAGCAGTGCTTTCCATACTGTTATTTTTTTGTCCTCAACTATCCGGTATGTTCAACATTGTAACCTAATACATACATGTGTAATTGAAGAAAGTTTTACAAATGGAGATTATTTTTACTGACCTAGTACACTCTAATTTTTCACTTTTAATGAAGTAGAAAAAAAATGATGGTTACCATTCATTAAACTGATTCTGTGACCCATTTAATGCAGGGGTAAGGAACATCCAGCCCTTATGTGGTGCAGGAAATCATTTGGTCAGGCTCTGCCCAGGCAGCCACAGGTTTGATACATCTAAGGCAGGCTAATAATTTTAGTGTGATGTACAAAGGATTTTATGAACATCCAAATGGCACTTGAAAGAAAAAAAGGTTTTCTACCATTTCATGATCAGTGGGTTGCAGAAATACTGTTCTGGAATAACTCGAAGAACTCTAGGCAAGGACTCTCACATTGTGCATCTCAGTGTGTCATATGAGGCCAATGCTTGGTTATTTTGTTTTTTATACATTCATGAGATAGTATCTTTTCCTAAATAAGGGGACAATACCTGTATAAACATTAAAGAACATATAGTAGTAACTAATGGAAGTGGAATTTGAATCTAGCTCTTTAAACATCAAAACTTAGGCAGTTATCACTATTTTGCGTTCTCAAGTGTGATCCCTTTTCCAGATAAGTGGTCTTTTGACACATGTACTGTCACATGCCGAATAATCTCTTCTTACCACACAGCATTTTCTTCTCCAGAGTGTGTGGCTCTGGCTTATCATTTTTTAGGTAATGTAACTTTCTGATACTTCAATCACAGCTTTTGTTTTGTTTTTAAACTCTAGATGCTCTTTGTTTGTAGAGGCATGGTACCCCAGAACTATAATCAGCATTTTAAATCATACTCAACCAGATAGGGTATAATAGATACACCTTGCTTGTGCTTTTAAATGCTGCTGTTTTTAAAATATCAGTAACATTCATGGCCTGGCTCTGTAGCCTACTGGTTAGTCCTTACCTTGCACATGCCAGGATCCCATATAGGTGGTGGTTCTAATCCTGGTGGCTTCACTTCCCATCTATCAGTAACATTCAGATATCTTAAAATGCTTTCTTTTGGAGGTAGTATTGTGATTTTGCATCGTAAGCTACCAGCATCCCATATAGGTACCAGTTCAGGTCCTGGCTGCCCCACTTTTGATCCAGCTCCCTGCTAATGTGCCTGGGAAAGAAGCAGAAGATGGCCCAAGTGCTTGGCCTCTTGTACTCATGTGGGAGATCCTAGAGAAGGTCCTGGCTCCTGGCTTCCTATAAGCGCAACATCAACTGCTGTGGCTATTTTTGGAATAAATCAGTGGATAAAGATGTTTCTCTTTTAACTGTATCTTTCAAATCTTTTTAAAAAATATTGTTCGGCAAATTGCCTACAACAGGCTGAAGCTGGGAGTCAGGAACTCAGTCTGGATCTTCTTGTGGGTGACATGGACCCAAGTGCTTGAGCCATGCCCTGCTGCCTCCCAGGATGCACGTTAGCAGGAGGCTGGAATTGGAAACAACTGGACACAGACCCAGTCACCTTGATACAGATTTCTAACTGCTGAGCCAAATGCCCTGCTTCTGAAATCTCTTGGATGTTCATCATTACCAGTTAAGCTTCTCTGCTTAGACCCAATAGGAGCCAGTACTGTCAGTTTCTTCCCCATATTCTTTATACACAAGTTGTTAATCTGAGTCTCAAATCTAAGGTTTTAAAATTCATTTTATTCGTCTTTAGGCATTTAATTTTACCTCTTTCCCCTGATGCTTTGGCCATCTTCATCATCTTCATATTTGGTAGGCATACCTACTAGGGCTTAATGCAGTTGTTGATAAAAGTTTTCTAATGACTACATATTCTGAAGTCTGGAAACATAACCGTGGACTCCTTCCGGATATATAACAATCATGAATCACGCATATTATGGTTGTTCAGTGATAATTAGTTCTACTTACTATTGGGCCATAATGACATTTTAATGGATATTATGAAATATTTTGGTAAACTGTGCATATAGAGTTTTGCCTAAAATAAAATGAAGTTTGAAAATAGAAATTTTAAAATAGAAATTACGGTTTCTTTGGTTTGATTTGTTCATGGTGAACCCTTTAAGGGATCATTGTTCTCCTTTTGCATGTTCTCAGACAATCCATTTAATTGAATTAAGCAAAGAATCAGTTTGGAATTTTTCTACATACTGATTTTTTTCTTTCAAAATTATTATCTTTCCT